TAGATTCCCAGTGGACAGTGCCTAGGCTCACAGGCTGACAATGCTGGGACTGTACTCAGGTCCAGTCAGCTTGACAACCTTTTCGATCAGACCCAATTTGTCACACTAGACCTTCCCGCTCTGTGTAGGTCGTCACAGGTGTACGGAGATGATGTAAACATCAAATAATTCTTCTAGACCACGAAAACTTATCATTCCGTCCATTCTGTAGCTCCATTACGTTAACAATACATCAACAATCCTTACTCTTTATTTCATCTTAAACCTCCTGAATGGCTGAACTGAGTTCACTGCACTATTTCTTATTTTTGCAACGAAGAGATTTTTACCTAGATAAGCGGTTGAAGTTGAAAGAATCGTGGAATTCGGGCGGAGCATATTTTGGTTCCACTGATAGCAAAATCGTGGAGTTCCTATCGGATGCACATCTGTCCAGCTGAACGGAGAAAAAGTAACAATTCAACTACAGTGGGTTCAACATGACCTCACTGAATCCTAGTCGAGGTACTCTCACCCGATCCAATCAGAATCCACTCGCTCACCACGTACCTTTTCCCATAAGTGCTATGGAAACAAGTTAGTCGTTTGGGCTCAAAGCTCCCCTTAACTCGCTAAATTCGGGTGGCTAAATGGAAAACCTCATTTCTTCACCCATCTTTTGTTCATAAAACAAGATATTCTTCTAAGATATCTTCATTACTGAGTTTGAATAGGACTTACATATACGACAGAAACTCCCCACAACGACCACCGGCGGGGTCGATCGAGACGGCAACTCCAGAGGAACTGATGCCCATGGATGAATAGTTGGGACGGTCGCTTGCTTGTGAATTAACCGGTCGCACGCGCATACCGTGGCGCGAAACATCATAGCCCCTTGCTGTAAAGAAACTCCCCACAACGACCACCGGCGGGATCGGTCGAGACGACAACTCCAGAGGAGCTGATGCTCATGGATGAATAGTGGGGACGGTCGCTTGCTTGTAAACTAACCGGTCGCACGCGCATACCGCGGCGCAAAACATCATAGCCTCAGAGTGTATACCGTTTCAGATACAGAGATACAGGTCGATAGGGAACCAGATGCTGAGTGGAACAACTCTTATCCTTGGTCACGTGGACCAGGTCATCAGCGTTCTGAAATCCGTCCGGACCATCCACTTTCGGTTCAGGACGAGACCGATTTCCCATTAGAGGGAGGCACTCAGCTGCAACGAAAACAAACATAAACAGTGGTGAGTTGTTATACGTAGAGCAATGAGCGTCGGACCTAGACAAGAAGTTAAGTGTCCCTCGATAAAATACGTGGGCACGAACAGCTGAAAACTTGACAGTAGCTTGGGATGCTCGAATATTCTGATTCCTTCCAGAGATCAACAATATCAACGTTCCTTCACTCTAAATGTCATCACTCTGCTTACCATGATAAGAGAGTCCTAACAAGTTTGATTCGATTCATTTGGGAGTTTCCCGACCTGCTGAGAGCACATTCAGTTTGAATACGCTAGTCATCTAGAGTGGGAGACCATCGACTATTAACGCATTAATAATCACACCCAAAGCACCAAAAGCTTTGGGTATAATGTTTCGATCTTCCGATTGCTTTTCCTTAATTCGCTTTCAAATAGATTGTCATCGAAGGAATCGGACGTTTGGTCTATGTTCGTCAACGCATCCCCCTACCTGATGTGAAAAAAACCGGATCCCACAGCTCTCCTCGGGGATCTTCAGCCAAGTCGCGTTTGCAACATTCCATGCTAGAGAAGGATGGCAACAAGTTGTTCCTCAACTATGCTCCCTACGGTGAAGACGGTCGAACAGGCTATTATGGCATGAACAATCGATTCCAGCCGGGCTGTATTCATTGTGGCTATCCACAGACATACGGTGGCCTCGCACCCACGGGTGGTCCGCCAATTTCACAAATGGGTAGAATGACGGGGGCAAAGTATCCGGGCTACGCCGATTCGGCAGCCTGCGGTTGTGTCGGACCTAATGACGGACCTGAACCACCCGATGGCATGAACGAATTGATATTTTCTCCTGACTTGCTACAATCCACCGCCACACTGGAGCATGACGTTCGGGAAGTGAAACGCTATGTTAAGATGTTTGTTAATCGACAGAAAGAAATTCACAGAAAAAATCTTGTTGCGATGGAATGGCGCACGTTGGCCTTAATTTTAGACAGATTGTTTTTCTTCCTCTACATCGCCACCATCGGGATCGCTGTGTTGGTCTCAGTGCCGCGGAGCACAGAGCCGGTCTTAAAAGAGGAATTTCTTTATTCGGAGGAGTAATTGTTTGTTCATATGTTTCACTTTTGGCAATTTCAGTATGACCTACCATGCTACTGAAGGTGAGCACAGAGCTTTTTATAGTTTGCTTCGGTGCGGCGTTTTGTTGGTTGACGATCAAGCTCATGGCGCATAAGCAAGTTTCACATTATATCCGGAAAAAATGTTCTGAACATTGAGTATAATCGTCTATTCTGCATTTTGTGATACAATACTGCTGAGATAGTTTAGAGCCTATTCTCCAAATGATCATTTTGCCATATTTCAACGGTTGAATAAACCACTGTCCCTTTTTGATGTTGTCCTAACACTCTCATCCCATTTGGGTTAATCTGCTTGTATGAATTAAAACGACTCCGAAACGCAGTCTTTCCAGTGCTTTTCACTCATCTGTAATCCACAAGGTTAAATTTCGGACCTGTTTTGTTTCAAACTTTCCATTATCGATTTCTTTTATAACAGTTCTTATAGTATCTCTGTACAATCTTAAACTGGTCTAGTATGTTTAGCCCGTTTTTCGAAATGACTGCAAGTTAATCCTCGTATAATTTTCCTAACTTTTCACAGTTTTCGTGGATGACCTACTAACTTTCAGGCCTTGAGTTATGCGGGCAGAAGCGTTCCTCTGCGGGCTTCCTCGTGGTTTATCGGGTATATGGGGTAGGATTTGATCGCTTTGTGTTCTCAATCTCAACTTTAGCGGGATTGCATATATCCTGACATTCACTAAGGTTTATAAAGAATGTCGACGAATTAGGACAATGGATTGCTAACCCCGTTCGGGGTTACTCTCGTGGATTTGAATCAGATTCCTATTACTTATTGTTGAGTAGTCTCGTGTGCGTGCGGAGAACACGAATTGTTCAGCCGCCAGTTTGGTGCAGCGGTACAAGAGATCAATAACTGGATTACAAACGATCGATGGCTAACCGGCGAGCTGATGGACACTCGCACGCGCTTGCTCAGTGCACTGCACTACTCAGACGACACGCGTCAGCACACGAGATTGGGTCTACGTACGTGTGTGAGCGTAAGCAGCAGCACAACTGTGTGCTCTAAAATCACATGGTAGGAGTGCCCCCAAGGAGCTAGGTCTGCGATTGGTGGACACGTAGCAGACTAAATCATGGCTTGCGTTGGATTGGGTAGAGAAAACAGCTTTCAGGAGAAGCTTGTGGGAGGGGTGGGAAAACGATTTGAGCCAAACAAAATCGCGAGGGCTAGTGTTGTCTATAGAGTTTGGGTAACGGGACGTTCTTGTCCCCGATTAGTTTGGAACTTCAGTCAGAATCATTCGCGAAATCAATAAACATTTCTCAAGACTCATATGCGTTTCGACCGATCCTGAAACCCATGCAAAATGTGTACATTATCACTAAAAACCTAGCTTATATGTTTTTACACTGACCAAAAGATGCATGGGTCCGCACACAAATGTTTTTTTTTCACAGCCGTTCTTGCGCACATGACTGCCAGGTTCCATCATTCTGGATGTTCATAGTACATACCTTGTAAGAAATGTACAGAAAATGCCTCGGGACAGAGCGAAATATATTTTTTTAGCTCACTGAAGCATGTGCCACTGAGTTGAACCACAGTGTTATCCTTCTCTTTCCTTCCAACTTCTAAGTGCAGCTCTTGTAAGCCTGCCGGCTACACTAATACCTGAGTCAATTACTAAAAACGGTGGGTATATACGAAGTCCCCCGGATGTTTCTTATTGGAGATAATTGTGAATTCCTTATGCGATCAAATTAAAAGCTGATCAAACTAAAAGAGGCAAGAAAAGCAACTGTTTTGGCCAGTAAAAGTTGAAACTGAGAAAATTAACAAATTCTTTCTTGGAACACTGGTTGCTTGAAAGTTCAAAGCTACTACAACGGTTTCTATTTCTGAGTATGCTTTTAGCGTAACAAACGTTTCAGAGTATCCTTACAACTCAGATTTGTACGAACGAGGACAATCCATACACAGCTTTATGTTGTTCTGACTGGACTGACATCTCGTGACGCTTCGCACCACATACCGTTTGACCGATCAGCAGCAGTCCTTGTGCATGAAGCCTGCCTGAGATGGGTTGGTGTATTTAGCCTCATTAATGTATCTAGCAGAGTCACGCCCTATTTGAAACAAACAGGTCTCATGTTCGGCTGGCCAAATTAAAAGCACCTTTCAAGAGACAAGAAGAGCAACTGTTTTGGCCAGTGAAAGTTGAACCTGGGAAAATTAACAAATTCTTTCTTGGAACACTGGTTGCTTCAAAGTTCAAAGCTACTACAATGGTTTCTATTTCTGAGTATGCTTTTAGCGTAACAAACGTTTCAGAGTCCCCTTACAACCCAGATTTGTGCAAACGAGGACAATCCATACACACCTTTATGTTGTTCTGACTGGACTGACATCTCGTGACGCTTCGCACTACATACCGTTTGACCGATCAGCAGCAGTCCTTGTGCATGAAGCCTGCCTGAGATGGGTTGATGTATTTAGCCTTATCAATGTATCTAGCGGAGTCACGCCCTATTTGGTACCTCTAAATGCCCTCAATTCCTTCCATTCGCTTCTCGTTAAATTGCAAGAACATGCAAAATAACACCATAGTTTTTGTGAATAGAGGAAGTCATAGAAGAAAAGACTTACTGGCCCGGCCTCTTTTCATGACGGGAAGCCTTTATTAGAACAATATAGACTTGCCCGTTGCACATGGTCGCCGCTGTGGAATCGCCAGTAAGCGCGAATTTGTGTTCGACTCTACCAGGCGCGGAATCACGTATTATACAAATTGTCAAAACGGTGGGAGGTAAGTTTCACTGTGATTACACACAACTCAAAAACCTTACGTATGACTGGGACAGTCGATAGGCTAGTTCAACAATTAGTGACACTTTGACGGTCACTGAGCCCCAATAAACGAAGAGCTTAAGGTCACAGAATGTAGTCTCACTCGCCAAACGCTGCTCAGTCCTAACCCAGCCGTTGTAAACGTTACTTGCTGCGATGAACCGCAGAATAGCTGACCAAGTGCTAATCACCTTTTATCTGTTGGGTGAACCTCAGTCCCATAGTTTGTTTCCGAAACAGTGGTGCTCACTTGTATTCCACAGTGGACATTGGTAATATTAGGTAACGTTTTCTCGCTCATGTATCACAGCACTTCAGCAGAAAATCATTAAGTGTGGATACCTGTAAAGCCCATTGAATATCGTTATCTACCCCAAAAACTTTAGGATTAACAACCAGACCATGCAGTTCAGGTCACATAGGCCTGCTGTTGTTTTGTTTTTTAGGAGGAGAACTCCAAAGTTCCGAGCGAGGTTCTTTCAAGAATCGAAAGCCTTAAAATTTGAATGGTTGGGATACTGCACGACAGCAGAAGTAACAAACCACCAAGTTATGATGTTTGGTGGGGACTGACCTTTGTGAATGCCGTGGTTTTGGCCCGACTGGCTATCGAACTGTTCTGAAAGTACCCTGGTAAAAGTGTACTCACCAACACTTTTAAGTCGTAAGACTATTCCTCATTGCTCCCGCCCACAGCTTTGCTCAGTGTCTCTAAGGACGACTGCCGCTACCGCAGTGTTTGGTAACTTCATAGAGCAGCCATAGATAGACCCATCGTTAACTCCGTCAAAGACCGCCGAAAAGAGGCCGGTTTAGAATGGTCACTTGAAGCGACCACAATGAGTCTAATAGAAGACACTTTATTATGTAACCCCGTGCGCAATCCACTGCTATCGGAGGCAGAACTAGTACCATCTTCAGGGAGGATGCTGGTCAACAAAAGTTACACGAGGAATTTCAAAAAATTTCATTTCATTCAGGAAGCTTCTTTGCGGTCATTCATCGATATAAAATAACTACTCACTTGTTAGTAATGTGAGAAAATTTAGAAATTCTAGCGAAGATTTTGCCCTTAATTGAAGTCAGCTTGTGCTGAAAAGTCAAAGTTTACACTGCTGGTGGTTCCCAATAAGGATGAAACAGCTCTAAAGTGCATAGACTGACTTCACTTACAATACGAAATCTCCCATAATGACCGATTTGCCAACGTTCTGTAGGGGAACCATAACGAGTGTTAGAAGGGGGTATCACTTAGCACTCCATTTTATTCACATCATACCACAGCGGATATCTAGCAAACCGAGTTTTCACGAAACCTAGCCTACATACCAACACCTCAACGACACATAGCCAAAACACTTACAGCTAAAAGTAAACAGCAACACAAAGGTTGCAAACCCATTGCTTTGCAGTTCAGAAGTAAGCGATTGGCAAAACTATGATGAGTGATTTGAAGAGTATCTTTTTACAGTTTGTTCCGTCGACCGAGATTAAGCGCGTCGTGCTCAAGTTGCTTCAAACCATAGCACATCTTTGCATTGATGTGAGATCATTCATAACTGCTTCAAAAGTGCAACGTAGGAACGCGTGTGAGTCAAAGGTCAGTCAAGGTCTACCCTCCTTATCGCCATCCAGATCTCACCAGTTTTATCGTTTGTTTAGATGAAGGCTTTTTTCGTCTCCGTCTTTGTTGTATGAACACAAATTATCAAATGACGGTTTCGGGCAAAATATGCTAGATACTACTAGTGACGAGTAGTCTATAGTCTAGTGTATCTTAATTCAGCCTACACGAGGATCACACACTTCATCATGCTTTTGTTTATTTTTCCTACCTGGATGTTCATGAATTTCCAGCCCACATAACATGACTGCTCCGTGATCTTCAGAATAAGTAAATGATTGATTGCCCCACCCTTAGCCTTCAACGTGCAAGTGGGAAGATGGTACACAAGTACGGTTGACAGCCGTCAGGTTCAAAATTCAGCGAGATATCTTTGCTTCCGGAACCATCACAAGCGATCGAACTATGTCAACCTAGTGTTTTCGAGTCAGCCGTCAGGTTCACAATTCAGCGAGATACCTTTGCTCCCGGAACCATCACAGGCGATCGAACTATGTCAACTTAGTGTTTTTGAGCTGACAATATCTTACGAGGACCCTGTGGATCACGAAAAAACTTTGGCCTTGTTAGGAACGTTTTAGGTCGTGTCGGTGCTAGCTATAATGAACTCCCTTTAGATTTTCATTGCCGTTCTATAGGAGTAAGTTTGGTAATTTATAATCTGTAGCGCTCAAGAGTGAGTTGCTTGGCGCTGTCGTCACATACACATGTGAATAACATCTAACAAATCCCGTGGTTGTTGTATCTGTTTCACAACATTTGTTTATCTGACGAGCACGAATATCAACCATAGTACACGCTTTCCCACTTGCGAATCACATCACCAGCTTGAAATTTCTCAACGGGACAAGAAAATACGATCCAGCTGTAGGAAATGCCATCGATCCGTTGTGTGGACCAATCATTGCGGTCTTTCTTGACCAATGGACGTAGGTGTATCCCAAATCGTAAGAACACTTATTGTTGGTCTTCGCGCATGACCAATCGATGCACTGTAAAGCAGTGACTGGGCCATTGTATCTCCCTCAGCTTCTCGTAACCGAAACTGGAAGTGCTCGCGCGGATGCTTATTACAAACATGTACAATTTTTTCCGTTTGATTTCGATCATCCTCTGTGTGATGTGTTTTCCGTGCGTTGTTCATGGTCGCGCACCTGAAGGACACCCAAAAGGTACGTACCAAGTGGATTTAAGCGTTTTAAACTAATCAGAAATGTAGTAAAAGCTCAAAGTGGATTGTTGCATACCTTCGAAGTGTCAGGCAGTTAATATGAGGTCCAATTTAAGGTGGTTAAGCGTGAAAACTGGTAGCCATGTCGTCATTGGTTACTGGCTTAGATGACTCTATTCATAGGCACCAAACCAAGGGCTGGTGGGATCCGCTTGTGCGATTTTGTGTTCTGTTAGCTGTATAGAAAGGACGTTCAGACACGGCAACGCTCATTGCCTCATCATCTGCTAGGAAAATAATAGTGTGAAATAAGTCTGCGATTTCCAGTCTAAAACGTACCCTCGCTATCTTCTGGGATATAAAAGGATAATAGCATGACACTGTTCACCAGTAAAACCTTCCAAGCCTTCGGTTCTCTACAGGGCTGAATTCGGTCTTCGCGATAAGATCTGTGAAGGGATACTGGTAAAGACAGCAAGAGCAAAGTCATCCCCACCTTCCCAGCTACACCATTCCTTTCCTAAAATTGAACAAAATGGTACACGTAGTATCGTTCGTATTTTAACAGTAAAACGACGTGGCCATCTTGTTGATAATGGATTTTCGTTTAGACAACCGATTTCGGTCGAGCCACCTTTCCGAACGTCTCACCTCGGCGATGATAGTTGCATCAAGTCCTTCGACTTGAATATTATTTTCAAATTGGCAACCAGAGGCAAAACGCCAATTTCAGCACTGGAACGTTGTAGTCTTCATCTTGATTATAGAGTTCATTTCAACAAAACGGATAGGTGGTGTTCTGTACACTCGTTACTGGTGAAATGGTCAAAATGATGCATTACCATCTGTCCGGTAATCTGCGGCCTACAAACAAAAAATATGCGGCCTTCCATCTTCATCGGCACGAAAACCCAAAACCCGCGTTCTGGAGGGTCCGATACTCACTGATCTCAGTTTTTCTGATACGATTGTGCTAACAGGATGCCAGTTTTTACCTTACCGAGATAAACCATTTTGGTGCGATCGTTGTTTAATAGCATCGCGGAATAAGGGGCCATCAAAGTGATTACCTGTTATTACTAAGTGGGTGTGGATCAGGACAGGGGGTATTCGAAACAAGTTGATTGGACGCTGGTATGCTTTTGCGTTGTTGAACCAACGGCAACGAAACAAGTTGATTGGACGCTGGTATGCTCTTGCGTTCTGCCCCAACCAACTGCAGTTACAAAACACAACAGTTGAATCGATGGATATCTGAGTACAGAGATTTAAGATGTATCTGGTGGTGCGGGAAATAGTTGAGATGCCGAGGAACACGAACACTTTGCGTTCAGTGGTAGGCGAAGCAAACTCTCTGGAACCGATGAATTCCAAATGGAAAGCGCGGTACTTCCCAAATACCCGTTGTGTGCCCAAATCCGAGGAAGAAGTGACGGTGTAATACAGTCCAATTTGTGGCGGATTTTCCCAGATGTCACAGTGAATGATATCATTAGGAAAAAAATAGATGCCTACAACTGTCGAAAGAAACCACACGGTGAAGTTCCGATGGACCTAACGCGTTGGTGTTTAGTATTTCCTAAATACGATGACTGGTGATGCATATATGAATTGTTGTAAAATAAGAGAGGTTTTTTGAAGAATTGTGAAGGGCGTTTGTTACGGGATCAAGTACAGAATCGTGCAGTGGAAATTCATGGGTCGCAAATGTATGCAGGAATAGCTATAGATCCTATTGATTAGTTGAGAACACAGACTATTTTGAACGCAAAATATTTTCAGCCGCATTTTGAAAATTTCTTGAAATGCTGGTTTTGCTAAAGAAGGAATCCGACTGGCAAAAGACCTATTCTCCGTAAAAAATAAAACGCGCTTCACTGAGCCTCATACATGCTCGGAAAGACAAGTTTCGCTTGAAAATTTTGATCTGTGAATTCCTTGGGCTACAGTGTTGTTCTTGAAGGATTCTTCCCGTGTTTCCAAAGTGAAGGCTATCCTCGATTGGCTTTTCGTGTTAATGAATCATTGACCACTGCACTTGGAGAATGGTTACGTTTCCACGGGTTACCGATATAGACACTCATTTCGGGTAAGCGGTGTCAATTTCAGATCATGGCAGCTAGGCTCTAGCCCTCTAATCCTAAGTTAGTCTTCAAATCATATC